CAATCATCACCACAATCAGATTTAGGACATTTTCTTCATTCTTGGGCTCATTGTTGTTTAGCTCCCCATTTCCCACAACCGTCTTTGCCACACCACCAATGAACCATTGATCTGAGTACTGTCTCCCTAGGGTTCTCTATCCTGGATTTCAGATCCTGAAAAATATTTTATTCTTTAAAATCATTTTATTGGGAGCTCTTATAGATGATGTAACAGTTCATAATTCAATTAAATCCTGCATGATTATACAATTGCTGCCACCATCGGTTTAAAATATTTTTTCATTCTTCTTGAACTCCTGATATCAGCTCTTCTTTATCCACTCTCTCACCAACTCTACCCCCCAGAAGCCCTTATTGTTGTGTTATATATGTTATAAATTATTATTATTATTATTATCCGTGTCTTACACCATCCATTCACCTACTGATCAAGCCTCGTTTATTGAGCAGAAAGCAGGGGCTTAAATACCCAATGGTGGGCGGGTAACATTACATCATATGCTAATAAAGTGTAACGAATAGTATCCAATAATCATGCAGCTACAATATGGAAGAAATGGCAGGTATCAGTCCTCAAACAGATCCGCATGTAAATGAGGTGCACTTGGATGCCTGGTGGAGGTGTCCAATGAGCATGGTGGCTGCCTGCCACCGAGCACCAATCATCACAAAGGCCAAACTCAGGCAGGACAATAGGCCAGGGAACATCCGGGAATGGGAAGCTTAAAGACAGCGGGCGGCGCAGGCCATGGGCCGAGGGACGTGCAGACTCCCACATGTGCAGACTCCCACATGTGCAGACTCCCACATGTGCAGACTCCCACATGTGCAGACTCCCACAACCTACAATTCTGTTATTCATTCTCCTTGAGTGGGATTATACAGTCATCATTGCTATCAGCTCCCCCTGCCCACCTTCCCACCCCCTTCCATCTATCCCCATACCCTCAGGGAATCATTACTCCCATTACTTGTTCTGAAGGGTTATCTATCTTGGTTTTACAGAAACATATTTTTAAAACAAAAATTAATAATAACAATGTAAAATAGATAAAAAATACAATCTAAGAGAAAGCAGAAAATATTAAAAACTAAAACAAAATTAAATGTA